GATTGCTAGTATCACTCAGCCCTCTGTGAGTAGTAAACAGCCATCAGTGTGCTAATGATCCATTATTAGGCTGATGGTCCTTCTTGACCATGTGATCAGCTGGTTTTGGTTGTCAGCAGCAAAACTGGTTGATCCACTCTGAGAAGGTGCTATTTAAGAGACTGAGCTGAATACAGCACCTCAGACTGAGGAAGTCTTTCGGATGAGAGACGAAACGTTTCTACATTTTTTTGCTTTGTTTTGTTTTTTGGGGTTTTTGAATGTCCAGAGGACCAGATTGAACTTTTTTGGATTCAGGCTGAAAGGCTTGTGCATTTTTTTAAAATAATATTCTATACATAAATTTTTAATATTTTATCAGAATTAAATACAAGCCCTGTACCACTCGAAGTACATATGGTTTAATCTGAATTCATTCAATAAAAAAAAAATGACAATGACAATCAAATCTTGCTCTCATTTTTGTGAAACTTTTTACAACCTTCTAACAGGTGATGTCATAATTCGTTATAATCTGGAGGACCCCTTCTGCACTTCCTGTCAACTATAAAAACAGAAGTAGGATCTGGATGTTTTGAGCGATCACACCACATTCCCATTAGGATAGTCAACAAGTGTGGAGTAAATTTTGGTGTTTTGATTAGATAATGGAGGGAGCTGGCAACCGAGAGAAAATAACACTTTTACACTGGCTCCGGTGTAAAATACATGATTAGAATGAGAAAGTATAAGGGGCCCACTGCTCAGTTCATACCATGAGACCAGTTTGGATTCACTTAAACTGAAATGGGAAGTGGACTTGGAGGAATCCATATCAGACTCAATCTGGTAAAGGATCATTCAGAACATTCATCTTCAATCTGTTTCAGGCATGATGTAGTTCAAGTCAAGGTGGTGCACCGGCTGCACTGGTCCAAAGACAAGCTGTCCAAGATCAAAGCCAACCTGGACCCCGCGTGTAATCGTTGTAAACAAACTTCAGCTACATTCTTGCATACATTCTGGACCTGTCCCAAACTCTAGACCTTTAGGTGATCTATTTTTGACAGTTTCTCTGTGATATGTGGGAAAACTGTTCACCCATCATCATTCATCTCACTGTTCAGGGTGGTCCCTATGGACACATCCTTCGAGAGGGATGTGATTGCTTTTGGCTCTCTTCTGGCCAGGAGACTTGTTTTGTGCACCTGGAAGGACCACACACCCCAATATATGAACACTGGATAAGAAAAGTTATGTATCATATTCATATGGAAAAATTTGATATTCTCTGAAAGGTTCTGTAAAAATATTTTGGGACACCTGGCAACCTTTTGTGTTGTATGTGGAAAACATGTCAGTGCCTGTATAAGATATTTATGTACAGTAAGTGTGACTGATCTGGTGTAGGAGGGGAGGGAGGGGTTTTGTTCTGTGTTCTTTTGTGTGTGTCTGTTAAAAAAATAATAAAAAATATATATTTTTAAAGAATGAAAAGTAGTTCATTTTGTCAGCTCCGTCACCCATCAATTCCCTCAGATTTACGTTTGCAGATGCACATCAGTGTATACAAATATAAACTTTTAACGCAAATGAACTAAAAAGGTGTACTTAACTTATTTTTATTCTTTTAAAAGATGCTAAACAAGTCTGAAAACGTCAATAAAATACAGGCTATGTCAAACACTAGACTGTTGCTCTAATAAAAAAATATTTTATTCATAGAACAGTTATCTGACAAAACTTTTCCACATAAAGGTGCTGTGATTTGGCCTATATTTACATACACTGATCACAGAGAAAGTGACAGAACAATTGGAAAGCTCTCACACGTCGTCTAACACATCAAGGTGCATTTCTCACGGGCTGCTGCTGACAGCACAGTAGAATAAAAAGAGGGAGGTGTTTCTGCAGAATCAATACAACTTTAAAGTAGCCTGATATTTTGGACTGAACAGCAATGTTGAAACCCCCTTCCCACTGGATGACAACCCCCTATACATTAAAAAATATCAGCAAAAACATCAATGATCTTTGCAGGATCTAGACGAGGTGATAGTACAGTCAGCTCTGTCTAATCTTTAACAAAAGTTAGTATTAGCTGTGACATCAGTCTTAAAGCATGAAGTTTGGAGAAAGAGGTTAACGTCTTCATCCAGGCTAGGCTAAAAGCTAACTGAAAACTTTTGGTTTTCAGGTTCATAAAACATTTTTGATTTTTGCAGAAATTACATACTGGTGTGTCAGTGGACTACTTGACCTTCACCTCACACATACACACAATATAAATACACATCAGCTACGTAACCATACACTGTGTACTTGTACACACCTATGTAAGTACCTACATGTTCTCATTCACTCACAAGGTATGCACGCTCACTTACTAGTATATACCCTTGACCCCCCGCCCCCAGTTTTAGTACTCTGTTACTACTACTATTACTTTATTCATTGTATTACTCTTAGGACATGTTAACAGTGTGGAGAGACACATTCCTGCTGTTATATTTGATTTTTACGGTTTAAACATGAATAAATATGTAAAAATAAATGAAACTGTAACTGTCTCCGTTTTTTATTTCACCTTGATAAAATTTCATAGTTTTTGGTCTCCGAGCTGGAAATGTTCCCAGATTTCACTTGAGAAATCTGGTCACCTTAATGTATTGATATGTATTTACACTCAGATTTGTTGAGTAAAGTACATAGATAATGGTGCCGGGTTTACGTTGAGTATATACCTGCATTTCAAAAGTGCATATCATTATATCTGGAAAACCAGTCAACTCTGAAACTTCACTATTTGATGTAGCTCAGAATAACATTTTCATGTGTAGTTCCATAGTTTTACTCTAATATGACACAAAAAAAAATTTAATTTCCGAATTATGCTTTTTTTCTTTTCCATTTTGTTCTCATTAACGTTATTTACTTTTTAACAAAGCAATTGCGGTAAAAAAACGTTCATTAAACAGCAGTTTTGTAACAGATATATCGTAACCGCGTAGAAATTAAATTATAGAAACACCTTTTAACATGCAATACAGTTGGAAGCAGCACATTCAGTGTACATTAGAATTAAATACATGTGTTTAGTAATTATGATGCATTTCATCAGCTCTTTAAAAGTCTACGGTGAATTTTGGTAACAAAATACTTGAGTTAAAAAACTAATAAAAACGTATGCAACTGTAAACTTCAGCTATTTTACACCCTTGTCAGCTATAACTGTATAAAATATGAACATTTGTTCTACAAAACTACATGTTTTATTTATTTTATCTTGGTCACTGCCCTGTTGTTCATATATGTTCCAGTAGGTGGCGCTGGTGTGCCTTCTGCTGGTTTCTGGCTTCTAATTCACAGTAAAGAAGAAGATAAAACCCTTTCTTTCCTGCTCAGGAACATGGATGAATAAACACAGGAGGTGAAGCTGCTTGGGATCAATGTTCAGGTGCATTTTGAGGCCATCTGTGAAGCACCTGGCTTCTCTGCCTGCTTTACTTCAAATCAGGTGTGTTTATTCTTGGAACATATAATAGTATATTGTTTTCACAGCTTGCATCTAGATGATGCAATTAAGAGTTTATAAAACATGTTTGGTGCTTTTGTTTTTAAAGCAATACATGCAAACAAAAATATATAGATCTGAGGAGCATGACGACTTGAGCTGATGTCGTCGTAAAGATTTAAAATATTGGCTGTTTTCTAGAATTTCTAGTTCGTTTGATACACTTTTCTATGGTTTGTCAGCTGTGACAAACTGCATTAAACAGTAAGTGAAGGGAAAAGCACCAGGCTGTAATTTGAGCTGTTAATGATCAGCTGTTCTTGACTTTAGAGTTAGTTTTGACCACCAGGATCCGTCACGGCCCAGGACCCTCGCTCTCCTGCTGCCCGGCTTGCATCACATCCAAACTCCAGTCCTCCTTGCATGTGGTGGGCACCCTGCCTCTTTTGGGCTTGGCCCGGCGGAGCCCCAAGACGACCATCAGGCACTCGCCAGCAAGCTCACCCATGCCTGGCTCTAAGGGGGTGACCCGGTTTCCCTTTGTCGGGTGACGTTTCCTGATGCAGCTGATGCTTATCCATCAAGGTGTTTGAATCCCTCTTGTTCTGACCCCTTCCCTGAGGCCTGTTTGACTCTACGAGGGGCTGATGCCCCCAGGATCACAGGGGTACTCAAACCCCTCCATCATGTTAAGGTGGCGATGAGTTCAAGGATCTGAGTGTATTACTCGTGAGTTGTGTGTAGGATGGAGCGAGGGCATGGCTTTGCTCGGTCAGAGTGCAGAACGAGTTCAATCAAAAGGCAAGGATCTCAGTTTACTGGTCGCTCTACGTTCCAACGCTCACCTAGGATCATGAGGTTTGGATCATCAGCAAAAGAGCGACGTCCAAGATACAAGTGGCTAAAGTGAGCTTCCTTCGTAGAGTGGACGGGCTCTGCCTTAAACATAGAGAGAGGAGCTCCGTCATGCGGTGGTAGCTCGGAGTGGATCTGCTGCTTCTCCGCATTGAAAGGAGTCGGTTTAGGTGGTTCGGAGATGTGATTTCAGTGCCTCGTGGACATCTCCTTTTGGAGATCTTCTGTACATTAGGAAGAGACCCCAGAACTCGCTGGAAGGATTATTTACCGTCTCTGTCCTTGGGAAGGTGTCCCTGGGGAGGGGAATGTCTGGTTTTCTCTCCTGCCCCTGTTGCTTCTGTGGCAGTGGCAGAAGATGCAGATGTTCCTGACTTGTTTTTCCTCATCTCACCTTTTATTTCCATGCAGGATGTCCAGTTCACGTCCACCGCTGGCTGCAGTCTGCCAAGTCACAGCCACCCCTGACAAAGAGGCCAACTTCTCTGCCTGCAAACAGCTGGTGGAGGAGGCCAAAGAGCAGGGGGCCTGCATGGTCTTCCTGCCAGAGGGATTTGACTACATCGGATCCAGCAGAGAGGAGACGCTGTCCCTCTCAGAGACTCTGGACGGACACATAATCACACAATACGTTCAGCTCGCCAGGTTTACTGACCGATTTCTGCTGCTATTAACTTGAAATGAAGTATATTTAAATCACATCTAAAACATGTTGAAACTTATTTACGTGTGCAATAATTAACCACATTCTGAAGCGTGGCAGCAGCAGGGATGAGAATAATCTGTATTGGTTTTGAATTTTATGGGTATTTTAACCTCTTTTCTAGGAAACTGGAGGTGTGGCTGTCTCTTGGAGGATTTCATGAACGAGGGCATGATTGGGAGACTGACCGACGGATTTATAACAGTCATGTTATAATTAATGACAAAGGTTCGGCCCTTTGAGCAGTTTCTTTCTGCTTTCTGTCACTTATCAAAATGACCTGAAATATTCTTTAAGAAAATTATTTCTGTGAAGTCTTGAGAAGTGTGGATATGTTTCCTAACTAAGACTAATTTTGTATTTTAAAATACATTTTTTCCTCATCTGAGGAGCTTTCCTAATTCAAACTAACAAGTGTTAGAGTCTTAGTTTTTTTCAATAAGTTCCTCTGTTTGTTTGTTTTTTGTGTGTTTTTTTCAAGCTGAACTCACATGCAAAACTGCTCTCCCTCCCCTCCCTCCTGAGGGTTGTTAAAAAGTTGTTCCATTTCACATGAGAGATGCTTTGTTCACATGCCTGACTGGAGTGAAGCTGACTGGGGAAGATCTAAAAAAGTTAAATCTGGTCCTCTGAACATTCAAAAAAAAAAAAACAATGCAAAACAACAAAAAATGTAGCAACGTTGACTGGGGAAGAGTTGAAACTTGACACCACCTTCTCTGATAAATGTCAGTTTTTCTTCTTTGATAGAAAAAAGGAGCAACTCACCACGGTTTAAAAGCTCGGATCACCACAGTTTTTTTTTTGTTTGTTTTGTTTGAGTTGAGAAAGTTCCACGGACGAGTTGCAAATTGTCTAAAATAATAATAAAAAGAAGTTGTCACCTTAAAAAAAAAAATCTACTTACAGTGCAATATAAGACTGAGAATTTACACCACCATGTTTTCTGACTCTTGTCTGCATTCCATTTACTAAAAATATTGGTACCACTTTACTAATTTTTTTCTTCTTCTTTCGGCTGCTCAGGGGTCGCCACAGCAAACTAACTCGCACAAAGATGTGACGATTATTTTTACGCCGGATGCCCATCTTGACGCAACCACAGACCACCGAGCTACCACAGCTCTCTGTGTGGAGCAGAGAGCTCAAGAGAAGAATAAGGCTCCGCTCATAGATGGCTAATAAATAGTTTATAGATATGTTATTAATTCCTCTATAAACACTTTATAAATCATTAATAACTGCTTATTATGCATTAATTAAGGGTGACAGAGACAAAACTGACCAGTTTCTTGCCAACTCTGTTCACCTATATATTTAATCTAGTTGTTGTATTAAACATTTCAGACTAAGTTACTACCTTGTGAGCACAATAAGCATTTGTAAACCTATTTATTTAGCATATACTATTAGTTGTAGATACTTGTAATGCAATGATAAAGTACAATATTATATAACAAAGTCCATGCTCAATAATCCAGGTATACAATCCAACATTTTTCAGTCAGGTCATCTGGACAGTTTCTTTGTTTGTGCTGAAATGTTTCGCCTTCTATCCAGAAGGCTTCATCAGTCAAGGAAACACACAACAAAACTGATTCTTCCCCCAACAGCTTACTCCAAAGTGGAACAAACCAGTTACGTTGGTGCTAAGATGGTCTCTTTTGCACGCCCCCTCCTCCATTTCCGGCCCTCTTCCTTGTTGACCGTCGTGTCAAACTGGTTGAAAAAAAATTATACAATATTATATGTTAAATAATTGTTTACAAATGCTTATTGTGCTTACAAGGTAGTAACTTAGTCTAAAATGTTTAATATAAACTCTAGATGAAATATATATCAATCAACCTTTATTTATACAGGTAAATCCCATTGAGCCTCGAGGACTCATTTACAAGAGAGACCTGATTTCAACAAAGAAAGATGACAACAATATAGGTGAACAGATTTGACTCACTAGAAACTGGTCAGTTTAGTCTCTCTGTCACCCTTAATTAATACATAATAAACAATTATTAATGATTTATAAAGTATTTATAGTGGAATTAATAACATATCTATAAACTATTTATTAGCCATCTTTAAGATACATCATCTATAATATTTGTGGGGAGTGGCGGCGCAAAGGTTAGAGCAGATGGGCCTGTGATCGGAAAGTCGCAGGTTCAATTCCTGGTACCGT